CTATTTTGCACTTTATTATGTGTGATGCATAACGCTAAATACTCTATGTATACTATATAATTTAATCCTTTTCTTCACTTTCGAGATAGGACTATTATTTTTTTATTTACAGATGGGAACACAAAGGCTTAGAAGAGGTTGGGCAACTTATCTAAAGGCTAGAGCTGGGATTCTAATTTAGACCTTATTCTTAACATCTATGTTGCTGTCTCCTCAGTGTCCTAATTTGTGAAATGGAAGTAATGTTATCCTCATAGTATTGTTGGAAAAGATCATATGGAAGAAACTGAGGTAGTGGAAGAAGTCTGTTGGGAGCCATGCACCGAGTGCGGCTCAGCGAAAAGAGCTCTCTGCTCCCTCCCTTTCCCTGCAAAATCTGTCAAAATATCAGATCTGTCAGCTACTTCCCACTGGACCAAAGGCAAGACCAAAGAGGGAGAATAAATGTGGGCTGAAGAAATAAGAATGCAAGGTGACAATTCATGCCAAATCACGAAGGTAGGGACAAAAACAACAAAAGTGATGTGGGGATCACAGTGGCCCAAAAGTAGTGATGTTTCAAATCAAGGCAAGGATTTTGGGAGGGGGCAGGGCGGTTGAAACAGTTAGTGAAATGCTTGATGGGATACCACTTGCCTCTGATTACTGCCATGGCAGGTGTAGAAACCCACCAAGAAAAGTATTAGGTTGGCCACAAAGTTCATTTGTTTTTTTCCATAAGATGGCTTTAGTAGCACTTAGTTGTCTTTAACTTCATTCAAAACAATTGTGTTACATTGTATTGTGACAGCTGTCATATCACTGTGCATTAAAAAAATGATCAAAATTGGTGAATTTTTGTGTAGCCATCTTAATATTGAAGATGGAAGAAAATAAGTAACCTTTCAGTATATTATGCTTTCTTAGTTCAAGAAAGGTAAAAACTCAACTGAAACACACACAAAAAATTGTGCAATGTATGGAGAAGGTGCTGTGACTGACCGAATGTATCAAAAGTAGCTTGCGAAGTTTCATGATGGGAGATTTCTAGCTGGATGATGCTCCACGGTTGGGTAGACCAGTTAAGAGTGATCGCAAACAAATCAAGACATTAACTGAGATTAATCAACATTATACCATGTGGGAGATAGATGCCATACTTAAAAAATCCAAATCAATAATGTTATTGGTGAAAATGAGAAACGTGTCTTATTTTACAAAAAAACCCAAATGGACTTTTTGGCCAGCCCAATAGCACATCTGTTGGGAGGGAGACAGGTTCTGCGCAGCAGAATCAAGATTCAAGTCAAAATGTGATGGGAAGACTGGGCTGAAACCAGCCAGATGAAATGAAATAGGGATATGTGTAGAGGTCCAAAAGTCAAGAGTTCCAGGTAGGAAAAGCTATATTTGACAGCAGATCATGGGAAGCCAGCTGAGGGCAAGAGTGGGGATCATAGTGAGGAAAGGGCAAGGTGGAGTCGTCAGTAAGGTGGACTTGGTGAGTGCCAATGTGGGGGGATGACTCCTGGGTGGCCCATACCAACTCTCAAAGGATTGCAACCCTAAATACACTCTGGTCACCCACAAGGCTATCTCGGGCTCAAATCCAGGCCCCAGCTGTGAGGCATACATTGGCAAGTAAGCCTGTCCAGAAGTAAGGGCTAGGACTTTGCATTCCACAAGGAAAAATGGAAGGTTGTTTAATCTGCTGAAAAGACTGCAAAGCAACTTGAGACCTATCTTCATGCATCAGGAGGAGAGGCTGTGAGGGAGAAAAGCGGGGGGCTCCAGCTATGGTGGGTGGAATGAAGCCCAGAGAGGGGAGTGAGAGGTGGCTGGATTTCAGTGCAGGGTTGGGCAGAATTGCTAGCCTTCAGAGCTGTCTCGGGGAAGATCAATCAGCTGGCGGGGTAGAGAGAGCTCCCAGACCATGGGAATTTTCAAACAGCTGCCCAGTGGTTTGGGGTGCTGAGAGAGGGCTGCTGCAATGGGTAGGAGGTTAAACTAGGTAGGCTAGGGATTTTTCAGCCTTTCTTAGAAACTGTTTCTTCAAATGACCGCTTATGGGAAGCCCAATAGATAAAACAGTTTCTCTTGCTGATTTGGGGGTAAGGACTATGCTCCCGGGGCCCCACTGCTAAGGAACTGTTGGGATCTCTTCAATCACAGTTGAAAGCTAGTGACTGGACAGTCTCTAAGGTCCTTTTTAATGTTAAGGCTTGGTAAGCCAAGATAAGAGCTTGAACATGCCAGGCTGCTGCTTCAAAATAGTGGTCTTGCTCCAAAAGTTTGTTCATTGTCTCCCAGTTCTTTCTGCTTATAAACCCTAAACCTGGATGCCTCCTCTGATGGCCCCTGGGTTTTATTCTCCACATGTAGCCTCTGCAATGAGAGCATATAAAATGGCCATTCCTGGGGCTGGGATATAAGCACAAGGTGTTTTGTAGGGCTGGAGCTCTTTGGGCAAGGGATGCCTGTAGACACAGGTGGTCTGAGTTGAGCAGTCATCCATAAGGAACTTGTCAATATTCACTGCTATCTTACCTCTCTGTGCCGGCTTCTTGCTGGACACTGGGCATATAATGGTCAGTAAGATATGATCCCTGTCTCTGAGGAGTGTCCAGTCTATGGGAGAGACAGTCTTATAAAGGAGCACAAAATGCTGAGGAAGCACAGAGGAACACATTACATGGTGGGGACAGCATGGAGGGGGTAGGTGTCAGGGAGGCTCTGGTAGAGACGGCTCAGTGGAACTTCAGAAGACAAGTAAGAATTCACTTAATGAGGGGGGTAAGGACATTTGAGGTAGGCAGAAGTATTTCAAAAGATCAGAACAGAGGCAAGAAGGGCACAGTGCATTCAGGGAACTGCCAGTCATCCAGAATGACTGGAGCGAAGGGAGTGGGTGGGAGCCTAGCAAAATATCTGCCTGGAGAAGTCACCAGGGACCAGGTCCTGAAGCTCTAGTGAGCTGACTCAAAGGGACTTTCTTGTGAAAACTCTGGGGAGCTTGGGATGATTCACAACTGGTTTGAACCAATTTTTCTTGTAATTCTTCCAGTTCCTGAGGTTTGAAGAGCTCAGAAGTAACCCTGTGAATGTGAGAGATGAGCCTGCTCAGTGGATATTACAAATGACATCATTAAATCTGGAGCACGGGCAGTTGGCTTCTGATGGAGGCAGTGACCTCCGAGTCATCTCTTCCCTTTTTGTGCACCAAGTCTCTTCCTTAGCAGAATAGGGATAAAAATGCTGCTATCAACTTGTCACATCGCTGAGGCCAAAGTGCTCCATGTAGCAAAGAACACAAAAGAGTCCCCCTTAATTAGAACACAATTTCTTTTGAAATAGTTTGGAGGAATCAGAAATGTATAATGCATGCATCTGTTCTTTAGTTGACAGCAGGAAAACTGACACACATTCTCGGAAGGGCTGGTTCAGGAGTCACCCACAACTTCTTAAAGGCCTAAATTGGCTCCTGGATCTGGGATTAGGGGTAATTGAGAGGTTGCCCTCTTTTTTTGAGCTGGAGGTGGGGAGAACAGGGGGCATAAGTAGAGCGACAGCACATCTCACCAACCAGCAGGTTCCTGCCTACTTCATAGGGTTGTTGGATTGAGATAATCTGTGTAAGGGCTTAGCAGTACCTGGCCCATGGTACCCATGGTACGCCCTAGTAATAAAGGCTATTGGTTATTGTCAGTGAGTATATATTGAGACCAGCTTTGAACTCACAGGCCCTCCTCGCATGGAATATCGTCTGAGACTTCAGTATTGTCTATCTGTTACTCCCTATGAAGCCCAAGCATTTCATGCCAGGTACGATGGTCTGGCAAGATTTGATTCCCCCACAGTACCCAGTAGTGTTCTTGAACCCTCCTTCCTCCTCTTCTGAGATGGCACTGGTCAGTTTGCCTTGTATTGTAATTATTCATGTCACTGTCTTACTTACTGAACTGGGAGCTCCTTGCCCTGGAGGAACTGGCCCCAGAAACGAGCATGCTTGCTTGGCCCTGCTTCAAGGCCTCCGCACTTGCTTTCCCCTCCCCTGGCACCTTTCCTCAACCCCAACATTGGCTGTCACCTCTCTCCCGACTACTAAGTTATTGCTTCCACTCCACATCCTATCACATTATTTTTTATTTTCATAGCACTAGTATTTGAAATAATCTCATTGGGTTATTCATTTGTCTTTTCCACAAGCATGTAAACTCCATGACAGGGGCTTTATTTGTCCTGCTCATGGCTTTATTCCCCAGCTCCCTATATCTGTGCTTGACATGTAATAGGTGCCTACTAAATATTAATGAATGCTGAATCAGTGCTAAATCAAGTGACTAGGAAAGGGGGCATTTGTATCTCTTCTCCAAGGCTGAACAAAAGGTCAGTATTATGGAGACGACAAAGGGGGGCAAAAAAAAAAGAACATGTGGCTACTGCTCCCACACTGTTTGGAGAAGAAACAGCAGCATAAACCTCCTGACAACAACACAGGGCAGCCTATGACCAGGTGTTAGATGTGAGGCACAGAATCAGAGGCCAGAGACCCAGGCGGTGGCTGGAACGGGGCTTGGGAGCGCGGCTTACTTACCCTGCTCCTCTCCCTGTGTCAGCACCTAACATGGCGGTGGCAGAGTAGGTGCTCTGAGGGTGACTACTGAATCGCACTGAGTGGTCAACCCAGCAGATTGGTGACTTACACTTTGCGTATAATTTGATAGCTTGGTTTACAGATATTCCTACTCAGTAAGTTCTTGATCTACGTGTGTGAAGACAGGGGTCCCCAGCTTCTGGGCCACGGACCAGTACCGATCCGGGCCTGTTAGGAACTAGAGGGCAGAGCAGGTGAGCTTGAATGCAATGTGCTTGAATCATCCTGAAACCATCCCTCCCACCCCCGGTCAGTGGAAAAATTGTCTTCCACAAAACCAGTCCCTGGTGCCAAAAAGGTTGGGGACCACTGTAGAGACTCTCTTAAATTCAGAGTATTTAAATATAGGCACACACACAGGATAATGTTTTGGCTGAAATCCATGTCACTTATTTATTCAACAAACAACTGAGTATCTTCTATGTCCCAGGCCATGTCCTTGGCTCTGGGGATGGAGATAAACCCTGGCCCTCAAGGAGCTCACAGTCTAGTGGGGGCAAAAGGTAGGCAAATAAATAAATAAATAAAATGTAGAGTATGCAAAGGGGACCACTGTGGGAGGCAAAGGACAGAGGAATCTGATTCTATGGTTTATGTTCATAGGAAAGGAAGACCTGGCTTTTTTTTTTTTTTTTCTTTTTTGGAAGAACACAAAAGGTAACAGTTCTCAAAGTGCGGCTGGTGAATTATGTACATATGAATCATCTGGAGCACATATTAAAACGCAGATTCCCAGCACTTTCTGCAAAGATTATGGTTCAGCAGGTTGAGGCTTAGAACTTGGGAATCTGCATTTTGAAGTGCTTAATGTACTTCATCTTAAAGTTTGAGAACCTGTGAGATAAGGTTTGCTCATTCAACTGGAGTGAAGAATGATCTGCACATTGAAATGTTAATTTTTGTTGGTCTTTAGTGACAGGCAGGGGAACAGAGAAGAGGAAGGCAGCTGACATTCATTAAGCTCTACTAGAGTCTATAAATTAATCCTCACAAAATTCTATGAGGTAGATATTATCATCATCCCCATTTTACAGATAAACAAAATTAGAGTTTAATTTGTTAAATATTATTCGGCTAATAAATTGCAACACCAACATCTGAACCCAGATTCATTTAACTCTAAAGTCTGTGCACTTCCTATAATACTATGTTGCAGTAGGAGAGAAATTTACTGATTAATGTTACAGTTTTCTTTTAGGTCTTTGCCAGATCTTGCTTGGTGGATATAAAGGACAGCACAGCCAGATGGTGCTTTGATCATGTCCAGTGTAACTTCGTAAGTGGGGATTTAGGGAAAAGCTGGGAGGAACAATAAAATGAGCAGCCAGTTCTTCTTTCTTTTCCCATCATTTTCTCACCCTCTGGTGGAGGTGTTATGAAAATGTACCATGGCTAGGAACTGGGTCCATCTGCACAGAAAAGCAAACATAACTAGATACCCTCGAAAGCAACTCCACCTGGTGCTGAAGATTTCTGGGACTCAAAACATCCAGGCTCAAGTTTCTCAAAAAATTAACTGACAGGACCAGAGGCAAGTCCAGAATTTGCATTAGGAAACAGCTCAGTCTTTAGAGAAATAGTGAAAGACTAGGAACTTTTTCAGGTTAAACAAACACTGTCTATTTTTGTATACAGACTCAGAGGTACAATGAAATAGTCACAGCTCAGAAAATAATGCAAAGTCCAACCTCATTTAAAGAAACTTGGTGGGAAGTCCAACTCCATTTAAAGAACTTGGGGACAAGCCCAACCTCTAATAAAGAAAACAAACATACATAGAAACTGTGAGTACTGGTTACATTCCCACTCACCATATTCAGTGTCATACAACCAGATCTCAGGCAGCAGCAAAGTGGAGCATATTAGAGCAAGAAAAGGAAAGGCTATAGCAAAGGCGGCTCACAACAAAAAAGGGTCGGGGGTGGGGAGGGGCTGGGAACTCAGGTTCAGAAAGCTGGTGTGTAACCACCCCTCTCCTCTATCACTGAGCTTGGAGCCACAACGCTGACACCTCAAACCACAAGGGAGTTTCCAATGCTGGGGAGCTCCTTTCTCATTTTTTGTGTTTCAAGCAACTACTGCTTCCAAAGATGAGTTCTGATCCAATCAGCTCACAGCACTGACACTATGGACAGCACATAGCTTATATTTCACTGCTGAGTGTAACAAAGATGGTAAGCCAGATTTTATTTTATTGCTCTATCTTCTCCCAACCCAAATCTAGCATGGATTAGAGTTGTTTAAAAAAAAAAAAATACACAAAAACATGCAAATCTGGATTGATCCTTTCTTATAAAAAACTTGATTTATTTACACTGCACTGATTCACCTCCTCCAAGTACACAGCTTCTAAGACGCAGAGTTAGAGGAGCAGGTTTAAATAAACCATGATTTAAAAATACACAGGCACTGTACTTGTGTGTTTAAGTATACCTGAAATCTACTGATACTTCAAAACAGCTATACTAAAGGCAACTCTGGGGGCATCTAGATGAGGTCTTAATCCTGAATGCAATACCGGGTTGTTCTAGAGTCTGAACAGGATATTTGGGTTATGCTTTTGGCCAGTTGACTGGCACATGGGAAAAAGTATGTAAAGCCCACATCTAACTATATAGCAGGTCTTCAAGCTTATCCTGTCACAAGTTTATAAAGATGAGGAACTATGTGCAATTGGGAGCTGTGCTCTCAAAATGTCCAGAATGCAAATGTATTTGTAACAAAATGTTACACTGTGTAAAATCAAGTTAACCATCCTGCTGGATCCTTGGCTGTGTTTGATTATGACCTCAAACACTTAAAAAGGAAACCTCAAGTACGCTGAGAGATTAATTATCAGAATGTTTGGGCACCTTCATTCCTGAATATCAAGTAATAGGGCTCACCTCTATGATTACTTCTTGCATAAGCACACAGGGCAACTCCTTAGAGACTGCTTAGTATAGATGCCAACTTTTGAGAGTTCAAGGGGGTGGGTGTGCTCTAGGCTATCCCAGGGCTGAGCAGACTCTGTAAGGAGCCAGTCCTTACAGCTCTAAGTCTTATCATGGTTCTGGGCACATTTCAGTTCCATTCCAAGTCCACTTTGCTCCAATTCAGCAATGACAGACATATATTTGAACTCGTTCGGTCTGAAGTTAAAGGTTTCCACTAGCCCGTAGGTCTCCTTCCGATCAGTAGCGTAGAAGAGCTGAACCTGGTTGGCAATGCACTGCGCCTCAGCAACATTCTGTAAGTAAAGTAAAAAGAACAGTGAGGTCCCTCCCTACACAGGACCGCAAAGCACTGTATTTGAGTCTTGAGGCAAGCGGACCCTCACCCAGGAGTCACTGCTTTAGGAAGCATCCCCCGCTCCCTGAACTCCCAAGTCTTAGTTCGGTGCCCTTTCTCTGTGTATCAAAATTACCCCAGGCTTACCTCTATCATAGCATTTGTCATACTGTATTGCATTTGTCCTTTTTTTTCTTTTCTTTTTTGTCTCTTTCCTAGCATGACTTCCTCAAAATATGTATGCTTGTTTTATATCCCTGCACATAGTGACATCTGGTGAATGTTTGAATAGATTAATGCATACGTTTAAAATGTCCTTCTTCATTCAGTTCCGTCATAACTGTTATTTCAAGGGGGAAATAAATAACAGTTGCCCAGCTCCAAGAACTAGTTTGTGAGCACTAAGTTCTTGTCTAATTAGACATGACTCAAATAAAACCTATTCCCGATACCACCTCAGTCAGAAAACTAGTGCCAAAGCCAGCTGTGACAGTTTTACGTTCTGTCCACAGATTCTATGACACTCCTCCCTGCTCCCCACCCCCCCGCCCCCGCCTCCTTTGACGGAGTCCAGTTTTACTTTCCTTGAGTGCAGGCTGTACTTAGGGACTTGTTTCTAACAAAAGACATTGTAGTTTCTGTTTTGCTATCTCTCTTAAATCACTTGCTCTGGGAAAGTCAGTTGCCATGTCACGAGGACATTTAAACAGTCCAACATGGCAAGGAAATGAGGCCTCCTGCCAATAGTCATGACAGTGAGGCCAGAGGTGGGTCCTCAAGCCCCTCAGCCTTCAGATGGCTGCACCCTAGCCCACATCTTGAAAGCAACTTCATGAGAGACTGAGCCAGAACCCCCAGCTATGCTGTTCCTGAATTCCTGACCCACAAACTAAGAAGCAGTAAGTTTTTCTTTTAAGTCACTAAGTTTGGAGTAATTTGCTATGCAGCCATTTCTAATTAATACACCAGCGAAGTCTTAGGGAAGAAAAAGGGCCACCTTCTCTAAAGCTCAGAGGCAGGGAAATGGTCACCAGACCCCTCTGTGTAACAGAGGTGGGGGGAGGGGGGTCAGAACATAGTTACACTCTTGAAACCTTACAAGAGTTACTTCAAGCAATGCTTAACTTTTGCTGCCTATACATTCTCCAGCTCTAGATAGTCAGAGGCACTTACTCATTATCACTGTGTTCATATGGCCAAAACCCAACCCCAAAGGATAATGAAAAATTCCCACTAAAACTGACTGTTAAAAGTGTGCTGTGTCTAGCTACAGAGTGAGGAAGATGGGTTTATAAATACCCTGGGCTGTTTTATCTCCATTCTCTCCTGTGGGGATTTCAGGTCATTTTCTCACAAGCAGGCACTAATCTCTGAGACTAGATCTTCAATCAAAAGCCTTTTTCCAAAATGCTGGCTATTTCAAATTAATAGAATTTCAGAGCTGGAAGGGGCCTCAGAGATCACCCAGTCCTCATTTAATAAGCCAGGAAACCAAAGCAAATGAGGTGCGGGGATAGGCCCAAGGTCATATGGGTACCAAGTGCAGTGCCATGATCAGACCACTGGACTCCAGGCTGGTATTCCCTCTACTTCACCCTGATACTGTTTCAGGTGGGGCAGGATAGTTAGGATTGATCAAGGTCATTAACTCTGTTTCATCAATGTTACCTTTTTATACTCAAACGTGCCCCAAGAGCAAATTATTTCTAAAGCAAGTGCGTTGCCATAATCCAAGGCAGATAGCACCATTCTCTGCGCCCATGGACCATAGGACAACTGACAATCAATTTGTATGAGGATTAGGATGGTGAAGGTAGGGGTTATCCCAGCTGTGTTCACTCTAGAACAATGCTGTGCCAACAGCAGAGTCCTTGGGGCTCTGTGGAGGTGCCAGAGGTCACTTCACCCCTCTTTCAGCTGTTCTACCCTAGGGTTTACACAAGATTTTGTTGGATAAAGGATTCTTCCCACTAGTTAGAAGACCACTAGTGTGGTCAGCAGGGAGGTAGAGAGAGGGAGCTATGTGCATCTGTCTCTTGAGGGTTATAGAAAGCACCCGGCTCCTTATTCACCCTCTGTCTTTTGGTCTCCTAACTCTCCACGTGAAGCAATAGTCTCCTCTCTTCCCCCAAAGATAAACATATTAACTCCCTGTGTTGCCCAGTAAGGAGGTATAATAACAAACATGATTTCTTCTCTTTCAATCTTCATAGCTATGATCAATTTACCAAGCCCTGCCCATTTTACTCCCTATATATTTCTGGGGACATTCTCTCTCCTCCAATGACTCTTTTGTGACTTCAGGATAAAGCCAAACCTCTAAACAAAACCCACCAAACCTCCTTTTTTATATATCAGTGATACCAACCTCTTCGTAATACTTCAAGTCATTTTATGCCTCCTAGCATTTACTTATGCTATTTGCTCTGTCTGGAACACCCCCTCTCCCTCCTTCTTTCTTTACCTGGCTAAACTCTGGCTCATCTTTGAAGGTTTAGCACTGGTGTCATCTCTAGGAAGTCTCCTTCCTCCTTCTGGGTCAGGGAACAGCCCCCCGCCCCCCACCCCCGCCCCGCAAATGCTGTGCATCCTTCTATCCTAGCACTTGCTGCATTCCAATAAAATCACCTATAGACACAGATATGGAACCAGGGAAGGTTTTTTTAAGTTTACTGTATTTTCAGCATTAATGTTAATTAGTTAGGAAGAAACCTCTAGTTTCTAGGTATTTCTATTCATTTGCTTTACTATATTTGGAAATACGGTGCCTAAAGTACAAACTCATGCAAGTGAGCAGGTGATCATATATTCATACTACATTTCTAGGTTTCCCTTAACAGTAACTTCTAACATGTCTAGTTCGGTACAGCAGCTCCTTGAATAATATCATTTCATTCAGTGATGTTTTGTTATAACATTGATGAGATGCTGCAGGAGCTTAACTGTTGTGCAAATCAATTAGCCTATGGTGAAAATGGTTTTCTTATATGTCATTCTGCTGTAGTTCCAAGAACCTATCGACAACGTAAAGTGAGGACAGACTTATACTACACTAGACACTCAGTGAAGTTGACTTATACAAAGTAAACCACAGGATGGGGCAAAAGTAGGTTTATAGTTTTGAATATGTGAAACACAGAGTTTATTCTTATATTATTATTTATTATTGTATTATCTTTCATAGGAACAACTGTAAACCTACTTTTGCGCCACCCTGTATATATTGTCTGGTATGCTAAGGCCAGGAGGCAAACTTTAATGATGATGGGAACTGTGTAGCAGCTTGCCACCACCAAAATGAGGTAGTCAAAACGCCAGTGTAGAAGGGTCTCTCCTCTGGCCTCTGAAGTGCGTATATGGTAGAGGCCGTCCTTTGCTGAAGACCAGAAAGTAAAGTGCGCTGTCCATGTGACTCACTCCTCTGGTCAAATTTTAAACCTTGTCATTGTTGGGAACTATATCCCCTCCAAATCTCAGTGTTGAAACACCCATACTTTGTCTATTTCCTATCTTTTAAGCTCACCTCCAGCTTTAAAACTCTTTTTATTCCATGAGGACTCACAATTCTGTCTCTAACCTCCCTTACGTTTTCACTTCCCTCTTTATCCAGTTTTCATTCTATGGTCAACAATTATAATCACTCCTATGCTTTAACTTTCTGGTTCCTATTTTACTTCATTATACCACTTGGCTAAACCATAACCCTAGTTAAATCCAACTCTCGGCCCTCTCTTTCTGTGTCTGTACCCGCACAGCCATTCTCTCTCCCATTTTTCTAGACCATACGCAGGCGTATGCTTTCTGTAAAGGGGCAGACAGTTAATATTTTAGACTTTATGGGTCCTAGAATCTTTGCTGCAACTACTCAGCTCTCTGTTGTAGAGGTAAAACAGCCAGAGATAATATGTAAATGATAACCATGGCTGTGTTCCAATAAAACTTTTTTTACAGACACTAAAATTTGAATTCATACTTTTCTCTGGTCATGAAATATTCTTCTTTAGCTCCTCCCCCTGCCCTCGCAACCATTTAAAGATGTAGAACATATTCTTAATTTATGGCCTTCTAAAAACAGACAGTGGATTGGATTTGGTCTACAGGTCCTATGTAGTTTGATGACTCCTGTCCCAGACAATAATTTCAGACTTTCTCTTTTCCATTCTAACATTCCACACCTATAGTCTTCCATCCTCACTCTCAGACTTTTCCTTCTTCTCACTAAGCAATCTAGAGAGAATTTCCATAGGCTACCTCTATCCATTTAACTTTATTTGTGTTCTTATATCCTGGCTTCTCTTCTGTTGTTATATTTACCTCATTCCCAGACTTACCCACTCAAAAATAGCACTTCAACAATTCTCTCCTCTTTCTCTTCATTCTCAATATTTTTCTCTCTTCTGGATCTTTCCATCAGCATACAAATATTATTTCTCCCATATATAAAACAAAACACTCTCATTCCCACTTTTCCCCCTCCAGCTAATGCCCCATTCTCTCCTTCCCTCACAGAAAACCTTTTCAAAGACTTGTTTATGCTTATTCTAATTTCTCTTTCTGTCATGTCTTAAATGTACTCCAATTAAGTGTTTATCCTACTGTTCATTTGAAACGTCCCTTATAAAGGTCCCCCATGACTTCCTTGTTGTGAAATGTAGTAAATTCTCAGTCTGCATCTCATTTTCCCTACCAGTAAGTGAGATTTGGCAGGTTGAGCACTCCGTATTCCTTGAAACATTTTGACTCAGATTCCAGGGCATTCTACCATCTTAGCTTTCTGCCTCTGTTAACTGACTTGTTCCTTTTAAGTCTTCTTCGCTGATGTTTCATCATCTCCACTGGGCACGGTTCTTAGACCTCTTCTCTACTTTATTTCCATTTACTTCCTTGGTGATTTCATTCAGTCTCGTGGCTTTACACAATAATCTGTTGCTGATAACTCCCATATTTATACCTCCAGTCTGGACCTCTCAACTGAATTCCAGGCTCATATATCTAACTGCCTACTACTTGGAAATCTAATAGGCATCTCAGAGTTAATGTGCCCACAAATGAGCTACTGATATTCCTTCCAAAGCTTTTCTTCCTGCACTCTTGTCTATCTCAGTTAATAGCAACTTGATTCTTCTGGATAGGACTTTGGGTAACTTCCAGTTGAGTGTGATGGGTGGCAGGAAGAATAAGAGAAATGGGACTGAAAAGTTTTAGGAATAACAGACAGGGAAGTAGAGTCTCAACTGTGTCCGAGACTTGTGACTTACAGCTACTGTGAGCTAGTAGCTGAGGGCCATCACTTTTTCCTTCCCTGTATGCAGATGGTGAGAGAGAGAGGAAAAATAAGGGGTGTTGCAATAAAAAATCTAAGGGAAAAGGGGCATGAAAGTGGCCAGTATCTTGAGGACATCCTGAACTTAAATGTTGCCAGGCAAATGTGTCTCAAATGAGCAAAGATTAGACAATCAGGTTGTACAGTAATCATAAAACTGTTCCTAGTTCTGGACATGCAGACAGAACAAACACAATGGGTGTCATTACCTATGGGCATGTGGTTGATGCTCTATCCCACGGCATGGGAAGAAGGGCAAGGGAGGTCATTGTGTACGAGGAATGTTTTACATGAAAACAGTATGGAAGATAAAAGATTGAAAACCATTCTAGACTTTGAACTCTTCTCTACACTTAAGAAGCCATTTACATGTCCACAGTCTCTTACATAAAACCCCTAGGGCCAAATATGGTTTGTTGAAGTCAGAATTTTTGATTTTGAGAAAGGTAAAAGGTACAGGGTGTATTTGGAGTGTTTGGACTTCAAAACTGTGAAGAGACTGAGAATCTGTACTAACTTCAAGTTCTGGAAGAGCTTGAGCAAGACCTAATTATTGTCAACTTTAAGTAAGAAATACATATAGTTCTCTCGAATTTTCTCTCTCCTGAGCTTTTGCAGAATAATAATACCTTCAGGGCTACTATGTAAATCCAAAGAACAGTTGATTCTTACCAGAAATGTGGAATCCATTTCTGCTGTCATCAGTACTATGCCCTTTTCTTCCTTAAGTTCAGGGTAGTGATATAAAATCAGCTGGCTGGCTGCAGCTTCCCCTCGGGTCTGTAAGGAGGAACACTTATCAAGGCTCAATAAGGTACCACCACAACAAAACTGCAATTTCAGAGCAATAGAGTCTGGAGGAAATTCTGGTTCTTACCAGCCCCTTGGGTGTCTAGTGAGTTGGAGGACTGATATGTGGGGGATGGTTAGGTCTGCCAAGCCATGGTGAAAGTGACAGTTTGCACAGTGTTATTTGTGTCTTCAATTGAAAAAGGTTTGGCTCTTTTCCCAGAAAATGTTTACAGTAGGCAGTGAATCCTTCATCATGGCCATATATTTAAAAACAAAACAGCGCAAGCAGCTACCAAATCAAGTTCTAAAGAAAGCAATATGCTTGTGTAATTGCCACTTTTATGGACTAGTGCATTTCACAGTTGAAATCTACTCCCCTTGGCTGGCTCTGAAGACTGAGCTCTTTTAAGCTGTAGCAAACAGCTGGAGAGTTTGCACATGGGCCAGATTTGTAATGTGCAGTTTTAAAATACAATCTGGGTGGGAGGTAGGAGGAAAGAAGAATGAGAACATCATAATTTCATGAAGAATGGACAGGGCAGTAGTTACTAGACTTCAATCCAGACTAGGAAGAGAGATTGGGTTCAAAGCTAGAGCCCTCATACCGTGTAGGAGGAAATAACTATACATTAAAAAAAAAAAATCTCTAGGTTTCATCTCTAAACTTTTAGCAAGTCCTTTTAATTATCAGTATCTCAGTATTGCTAGGGTACTTTTAATACTTCAGCCTCTCACTTCTGAACATAATTCTATACTGACTATTTTCATCATAATTATGTTTCTGGATCTTTTCCTTATACCTGTATATGAGCTTCCTGAGGGCAGGGACTTCGGTTCATAGGTATTTAGATCCTAGCATAGATTCCAACACACTAGCATAATGTTTAAGTTCAAAGACTTTGGAGCCAAGAACCTGAAGTCAATCAAACCCAGCTCTACCACTTATTAGCCATGTGAACTAACTTCTCTGAACCTACTTCTCTGTAAATAGAAAAAATAGTAACTATCTCATGGGATACTTGTGAGGACTAAATGATGATATATGTGCCAGAAAAATTGGGCATATAACAAGCATATCAAATGTTGATTATCATAGTATGGGCCTGATAAGTGATTGTAAGAATTATGAAATAATTGTAAGCTGCTCCCCCATTCTATTTTGCACTCCCTTTACCCCAACTTCAAAGTCATTATAATACATGCCAGTTTTGCCAGATTTGGCCTCCAAATATAGAATGCCAATTCTAGTTATGATCTGATATGAAACACTGGCTTTTATTTTAAAAGCTTCAAATGCTTTAGATTGAACTTAATCTATTATTTGGGAGTAAAACAAAAAAAAAAGAAAGAAAAAAGGAGGGAAGCAAACAAAACATCTATGGAAGGGAAACTATGCATCTAGCACCTTAAAAAGTGCTGACTTGATTAATAAAACTCATGCAAGACACGGAGCTTTCCCCAAGGTTAAAAGCCTTAAGGTCATGGCCAATACAACTCATCCATGTTTGTTAAGTGAGGCACATGCAGTGAATGTTTTAGAGGCCCGAGGAAGAGACAGGAGACAGCCCGAAGTAGTCAGAGAATGTGTTTTGGGGACTTTTCCAATTGAGATATTGAATAGGACCTAGAAAGCTAGCCCAACATACCAAGTATGACAACTCACCAATGCTACAGCAAATACTGCTGGGAGTTAGTACATAACCTGTGTCCTCGAGCCTCAGCATGGCTCATGGTCCCACAAAGGGGTAGGCCTCTTCCCTCTGGGGGATAAACACAAGCTACGTACCTGAATATTTATAAGTGCAGTGAAGTGGAGTTCAGTGCCTGACCATTGTCCTACAAAGAACTCATAGCCTTCCCTTCTTGGTAGTGCACATAGAAACTGTGGGAAAACAATACACAAGGAGGTAGATGAACAAATAAAATCATTTCCTCTATGTCCAACTACCTATATCATTCACTCAATTTCTTTAATGTTTGGTTAAAACATTTTTTAAAATTATGAAATTCATACATGGTAGTATACACACATACACTTCCCAACCCATCTAAGAAAGACTTAGATATACAGTTGAAGCTCTCTCTGTAACCCATGCCAATCCCAATGCGGAGTTAATGAATGTCCTGCATTTGCTGACTGCCATTCCCTTTCAGGTGTATACTTTTAATGTGGCTATGTATATCCATAAACAAGAAGCAGTACTCTTTGTATGTGTAAAAACATAAATCTTACCATGTATACTTTTGCAACTTGTTTTCACTTCACATTATACTTCTGAGATTTATCCATGTTGATAACTCTAATTCTAATTCATTCATTTTTCACTGTTGTATAGATTTCTACTATAGAAATTCACCACAATTTATCTACTCTTCCACTGATGACCATTTGTGTCTTTTTCAATTTCTAAACTTCCTAATGCTGCTGAATTAATTTTTCTAATTACTATAATCACTTCATACTTTATCATCTGAGGCTGATACTGCAGCTCTAAACACCAAGAAATGATTAGTTTTACGCTTGAGATGTTGGTAATTGGGGATGAGTGATGGAGGAGAGAATGATACAACATAAAGCACAATCAATCCAACATGGATCAGTCATGGGATTGTCTCCTTACTGCCAAGCACTCAGGTTCATTTTCATTATACTAGATGAAATCACCTCAGTGCCTATTTAATAGCTGGCCCCTTGTTAGGGAGAACATTTTTTTGAGCTTTTATTGAGGTCTACCTGAAGCAGTAATTTATACTTATTAAAAGTGTACAATGTTTTGATATATACATACTGTAAAACCATCACCACAATCAACATAATGAACATTTCCTCCAAAAATCCCCTTTGTTATTCATAACTTTCTCTCCCCAACTCTCCTTAAGCAGCACCCAATTTGGTTTCTGTCACTACCCATCAGTCTGAATTTTCTAGAAATTTGTATAATAGGAACCATAGAATTAGTACTACTTTTTGGTTCGGCTTTTTTCTTCAGCACAATTAGTTTGTGATCTCTCCATGTTGTTGCATATATTAATAGTCCATTCCTTCTAATTCCTGAGTATTATTGCATTGTATATATGTACACACATACGGCAATTCTTTAATTTATTTACCTGTGATAGATTTGGATATTTTTCAGTATTTTGTTTTTGCAAATAAGGCTACTATGAACATTTGTGTACAAGTCATTTTATGTACATGTACTTTCAGTTCTCTTGGGAAAATATCTGCAAGCAGAATGGCTGGGTAGTATGGCAGGTACATGCATAACTTTTAAAGAAAATGCCACACTGTTTTCAAAGTGGTTGTAGCATTCTACATCCTTACCAGCAATATATTAAGAGTTCTAGTTGCTGTACATCCTCAGCAACACTTGGTATGGTCAGTCTTTTTAAAAAAACTTAGGCATATGAGTGTTATCTTACTGTGATTTTAATTTGCATTCTCATTATGATCAATGATGTCAAGCACTTTTTTAGGTGTTCATTTGCCATCCCACTTCATTGGGGAATTGTCTGAATCTTTTGCCCTTTGTTAATTGGGCTGCCTGTCATCTTGTTATTAAGCTGTAAGAGTTTTTAATATATGCTAGATATGTCATCTGTCAATATATGTCTTGCAAATATTTTCTCCCAGTCTGTGGCTTATCTTTTCATTTTCATAACAATGTCTTTTGAAGGGTAGGAATTTTAAATTTTTTTAATGTGGTAAAATATACATTATATAAAAGTTACCATTTTAACTATTTTTTTTCCACTTTAACTATTTTTAAGTGTATAATTCAGTGACATTGTAAGTACATTCACAATGCTGTGCAACCATTACCACCTTTCATCCCCAGAACTTCTTTCATCTTCCCAAGCTGAAACTCTACATTTATTAAACAGTAATTCCTTATCTCCCCTCAGCCCCAGTCCCTGGCAACCACCATTCTATTTTCTGTCCATAAATTTGACTATACTAAGTACCTCATGTATATATGTGGAATCCTACAGTATTTGTCGATTTGTGCCTGGCTTATTTCACTTAGCATGTCTTCAAGGTTCATCCATGTTGTAGCATGTGTCAGAATTTCCTTCCTTTTTAAAGCTGAATAATATTCTATTTTATATACCTGCATATACATACACACATACGTATACACACACATTTTATTTATTGATTCATCCATTAATGGGCACTTCGGTTGCTTTCACCTTTTGGCTATTGTGACTAAACTGCTATGAACTAGTATATACAAATAGAAAATTTTAATTTTGATGAAATGTAATTTATTTTTTTAATAGTTTGTGCTTTTTGTGATATACTTAAAAAATCTTTGCTAAGCCCAGGATCACTAAGATTCAATCTAAGATCACCAAAACCAAGATCACTAAGATTCTATGATCTATTTTGACCTAACTATTGGATACAGTTTGAGGTAAGAGTAAGATTATCCTTCCCTGACTAAGTGGATCAGTTGGTTGAAGCATCATCTCTTACACCAAAAGGCTACGGGTTTGATTCTTGGTCAGGGAACACATCTAGGTTGTGGGTTTGATCCTGATCAGGGTGTGTAAGGGAGGCAACCAATCAATGTTTCTCTCTCACATCGATGTTTCTCTCTCTTCCTCTTCCTCTCTAACATCAATAAACATATCCTTGGACGAGGATTTTTTTTTTAAAGTAAGATTATCCTTTCCTCCATTTAATTACCTTGGCCCCTTTGCTGAAAAACAAGTGACCACACATATGTTGGTCTTATCTGGATTCTCTACTCTGTTCCACTTATCTATATGTCTATTTTTATGCCAATACCATATTATCTTCATTACTGTAGCTTTATAATGAGTCTTGAAATCAGATAATGTAAGTCCTCTAACTTTGTTCTTTTTCAAAATTGTTTTGTTATTCTAGGTCCTTTGGATATCCAAAGAAATTTTTAAAATCAGCTTGTCAACTTCTAAAAAAAAAAATAAAGCCTGTTGGGCTTTTGATTAGGATTATATTCTTGATATCAATTTGGGGAGAAATGACAGTAATATGAAGTCATCTAATCCATGAATGGTATGTCTTTCCATTTACTTAGATGTTTTTTATTTTCTCTCAGTAATGTTTGGCGACTTTTTTCGAGAATCCTAGAAATTATTACCAACACCCAGTCAGCTGGCCTAGCTTACCTATTCCCTCCCCTTAGGTCTTCTCCATTACTCCAGCAACAATCTCATGATTCCTTTTAGGCACACATAATCAGGATAGCATGGCCAAAACTGAAAAGAAAACTGCTAATAAAACAGATACTTAAAGGATGTTGAAAATATTATGGTCTCAGGTGCTCCATTCAACATTTACTTATACTGACAGATTACGATCCAGATCAGAAAGGGCTGAGAGCATCTATAAAGTCAGAGACTTATTGGCCCAAACTTACATGCTTTCATAAGGCTCAAAATTTCACTTACTAGTACAACTGATGTATAAGCATCTTTGTTAAATAAACAGAACTATAACATGAGATAGTATGGAATATCACATCAATTAGAAACATCCTTGTTGGCAGCATTGATAAGCAATCCAGAAACTTACTGTTGGACAGGACTGAGCCCGGTTCCAGATTAAATCAAACTTCTTTTCCTGTAGGTTAGAAAGGAATAAAATTCACAAACAGTAAGATATAAAAGGCTGCGATCACACTTGGATTCACCAAGACTAAATTAACTCTGGAACTAAAATACAATTAACATGATCTAAGTTTCATCATTTACAAATTCCTCGTATGACAGAGAGGAAAAAACCAGACGTATTCTTTGCTGTTCAGTATCAGAATTGTGTGTTAACAATGTATAATCCAAATGCTCCAAACTCTCCAGGGGACTCTGCTAAGTGTCTGAGATATCAAGTCACTAAGTCTGTCTGAAGGAAGCCTAAAGAGGTCTGTTCAAACAATGAGTCAGTATTAGAGATCTACAATTTCATAGAAGTACAGATCCTTTAGCTGTTAGACTTACGAAGGGCAAGGGTACACATGTATAAGAGGTAGAAAAAAATAACAATACTATCACAGCAACCAAAAGGCTTGGCTTTACTTTTAAGTCTGTAGGTTTTTGTCCTTAATCTTACACTTAGACATGTAAGCCTCGTATATAATTATGCTCTTGATATAAACTTACTCCAGGCTACTTCCTCTTCAGGGAAGAAGAAGAACAAATTAAAGAACTAGCTGATAACTAGGTACATCAAATGCTGATCTCAATGCTCAAGGCATGGCTGGTGACTATCTTCAAGATAGCAATTTCAAGACGGAGGGAAAAACCCCACAAGAAAATGCCACTTGCTAAGGGGAAATGTCAGAAAAAAATTAGGAGGAGGCTCTAAGTCAGATCACTTATAGCTAAGAGGGGAAGAAGCTGGCCCTGGCCCTGTAGCTCAGTTGGTTAGAGCGTTGTTCCGATATGCCCAGGTTATGGGTTTGATCCCCAGTCAGGGCACATATAAGAATCAACCAATGAATGCATAAATAAGTGGAACAACAAATCGATGCCTATCTCCCTTTCTCTCCCTCCTTCACTCTCTCTAAAATCAATTCAAAAAAAGAAAGGAAGAAACCTATGCTAGAAGCCCTGTGTTAAATTCCAATAGCTTGGAAAACACCAAAAAGAAATAAAAGACTTAGAAATTGCTCAGCAACATGAACTTACACCGTGCTCCCTTGTCAGAGACTTGACTCAAAGAGACATTTCTAAACCAGAAAGAGGGAAAACAAGAGCCATAAATATACCATATGGAGCTTCCAATCTTTGGTACTCAGGGCATAATAAAAACCCTGAGAGCTATAAATGTAAGTTCTCAAGAGGCAATAAACATAGGAAAAGTAAAGGCAACTGCCTGCTAAGGTTAGAGACATGACCTTCATGCTATAACACATTCATTTTCCCCTCCAAACTACTTACAGGAATAACTGCGTAGACTGTATCTTTTGCTGCAAAATACTGCTGCCAAATCTGTACAAAAAAGAGAGTATGTCTGTGACCTGTGGGTTATCTTTTCAACCTGCACTAAGACATGACGGCAGCTTTCATTGCTCACAGTAACACGCTATTTGATGACAGACAGGAAAGTCTAAGGTAACGCTTTCATTACTAGTTCAATGTTACAAAAAGATTTAACAGAATCTACTCTTCTAGATGATTAAACTGTAACTCTTAGTAACAAATTCCTGTCTCAGAAATGGATTCTATGACCTTGTTAATCATTTTTCTAAATATGTGCCTTGTGTATAACAGACAAGCTCTTTCTTTTTGTATCTTCTCTCTGCCTTTCCGAAACACAAACTCCCTAGCCAACTGTGGGTCTTCTCAGAGAGTAGGACATCAGTCACTCAGAACCAGGATTTGGAATCAGGCAGACCTGGATACAAATTCCAGCCTCATCTGACAGCTATGCTACGTTGGGTAAATTACTGAAAAATAACTAAATAATATCCATATAACCATGAATAAAATAGAAACAGTATCAACCTAATGGGACTGTTGTAAAGACAAGTTGAAATAACGTAGGTTTATGTTTAGCACAACAGAACCACAATACAAACCAGAGCCACGGCGCTCTGGAGGGCAACAAAGAGGCGCTTAACCCAAGTTAGGGAATGCGTGCCAGAGGAGGGGACACTTAAGATATATCTTGAAAAATGATCAGGAGTCAGCCAGATGAACAGGGAGTCTGGAAAGATGAACAGGTAGGGTAGAAGCTAAGAGATACCTTCTAAGCAGAGAATGACAGCATACACAAAGGCATTGAAATAGGGGAAGACATTAGAGCCAAGGTGACACCCAAGGTGAAGAATGGGTCACCCTCCTTTAAAGTTGCTCTGCTTTATTAATATTCCCATTAAATGGGGGACCCCAACTGAAGACCCCAACACGGAACACAGGACTGGTACTACCGAGGACTTGGGCAAACCACTCTATCGATGCAGCCCAAGGTTGCTGCCTTTTTTTTTTTTTTTTTTAATGTTAGAACACTGTCTTCTCATTTTAAGCACAGCATATCCTGCTTGTTTTATTTTACGAGGTCTGTCTGGAAAAAGTCCAGTCATTGTTAATATAACAAGAATGATTTGCACAACACTGATGTAACTTGGCAGCCAAGGAGAGTGGACTGAAATGCACATACATGAACAATGACAACTTTACTGTACGAGTCAGTGGGGGTAGAAGATGCTGTCAGTGAGCATGTGTACTGTGTGGCTGTGGCATTAAAATGACTGAGTGAGTAGGGCAATGAATCTGCATCAAATTTTGCATTCAGCCTCACATTCCTTTGCAGAAACTATTCAGATGATTCAGAAGGCCGCAGCTATGGGCAACTGCTGACTGGTAGCTTCATCACGACAATGCACCTTCTCAAGCATCATACCTCATGCAGAGTTTTTTGGTGAAACATCAAATCACCCAGGTGACTCAGCCCCACTACAGCCTGAATTTGGTGCACTGAGACTACTGGCTCGTCCCCAAACTAAAATCACCTTTGGAAGGGAAGAGATTTCAGACTATCAAGATTCAGGAAAATATGACCAGGCAGCTGATGGCTACTGGGAGACCTGCATGAGGTTCCAAGATGCCTACTTTGGAGGAGACTGAAGCATCATTGTCCTATGCACAATGTTTCTTGTATCTTGTATCTTCTTCAATAGGTGTCTCTATTTTTCATATGGCCGGACACCTTCTGGACAGACCTCGTATATTAGTAGTTTATGAATAAACACTAAAAAGTATGAGACTGATACATTTTGACCTAACATAGTTGACCTTCGTTACTCAAAATCATTTTAACACAAATTTGTATCTAAAATTATAGATCTAAATGATATTTGTCATATGATCAGGACTCCTAGGCCTGGCTTAGAGAAGCCTAAGGGACATGCTTGGTTATCCACTTTCCACTGGCACTTTTTCCCAAAGGCAGTTTGAGGTCTCCGTGAGACTTTACCTAAGTCTATTAACAGAGGTTAAAACCCTGTGCTGTCCTTATTTTTGTGTCTATCCTTCCACAAGGCTAAAGCTCCTTGAGGGTAGGGATTACCTCATTTATTCTGCTGTCAGGCACAGAGCCTGACATTTAATAGGTACTCAATAAATGCCCGCTGAAATGAATGACATAGTACCCAAAGGATAACCATGGCAATTCACACAATTTCCCATAAGGGGAAATGACACAGAATCAAACAGAGATGGGTTTGTGTCTTAGCTCTACCACTTACTAAGTCACTTAATTTCTTTAGGTTACAGTTTCCTCAGTGGTAAATGAGGAATAATAGCATCTACTTTACAAAGCAGTTATGAGAATTTAATGAAATAGTGTATATGAAACACTAAGTACAGTACCTGACACACAGTATACTGCTTTTATTATTTTGATTCTCTCAATATACCAAAAATATAATTTGTGGAACTATAAGGAATGCCAATAAGTAGCATATTATAGTCTAATTAGAGAAAAAGTCATAGACATGAAAATTTAAATAGAAATGTAAGTCAATGTATTGGAATGACCAGACAGGCAGAATAGATCAAGAGTGCTTTGAAGAAAGGTGTCCCGGAAACTTCCTGCAGAAGGTCCTGTAACAATGAAGGACCCTGAATGCCAACCAAAAGAATATGGTAAGTCACTGGACATTTGTGAGGTTACTAACATGATATTTTTTATTCATTTACTTAAAAACACAAATGTAGCACTTACCCTTTGCCAGGACCTGTTTTAAGTGCTTTACAAATATTAACTTGTTTAACTCCCCAAATAACTCTATGAGGTAAGTACTACTATTATTTCCACTTTACAGATAGGGAAACTAAGGCTCTGAGGGGCTAACTACCTTACCAAAGTCTCTCAGCTAGTAAATGGGCAGACTGGTTCTAGAGTCTGTGTTCTTAACCAATATATTATTCTTTTCCATAATGAAAGCAGAACTTGAAGAGGATTCAGCTGGTGAGGATATGATAGGGGAGTGGGAGAAATAAGAGCAGGGAAACCTATTCAGAAATGTAGTATAGTAATCCAGGTATAGAGTAGTGATGATTTTAAATAAGATGTGGGCAACAGGAATGAAAATGAAAGGGGAAATGTGAGTTGATTAGATATACAGGAGTGAGAGCAAGAAAGACAAGTTTTCTTATGACACCATTTTTCATGTAATTCATCACTTTTGCTACCTATGGCCACTTTTCATTTTGGCAAGAGAGAGGAGTCAGGAAATATATGCTCCTTTCTACTTTCAGATTTGGTTCATAGAGCACACATTTTCAAAAGGTACGTCAACCCATCTTCATTCATTACCTGCTTTATTTCATCTGCAGTTTTGTCTTTCACCATCTCAATGTTAAAGATTGAACTGAGAGTCTGAAAGAGAAAATAAAAAGCAATTAGTACCCACAATTAAAAAAAATAAAACAGCTTAACTTTATCTTAAGACTTGTGAGAAGCAAAATGTCAGGACAGTGAATGAGCTATTCAATAAAGGGAGAACAAGTGTATGAAAAGCCATATGCTTAGAGCAGTGAGCCTCTAAGCCCAGGCAGGTTTCTGCAGTTCTATTCCTGGGGAGTATCTACAGGTATGGCCAAAATCCTTTACCCTCACAATGAGCACTGCAGCACTTTGCAACTGGTAACAGGAGAAATTCTGCCAGGAGTGGCTCCTCCTTTGCAAATTAAATGACAGAGTAAACATGTTTTTATTTGATTTTTAAAAACAAATTCATATAGAAAAAAGGAATCATTCTATTTCCTCTACCATTCCCAGGACCCACACTATGGTAGGGGTTACATCAAGGACACAAATATTCATAGAACTATTTCTCATATGCACAGTTGATAAATCACAAAATCATTGAACCACAGTAAATATGTTCAAATTTGCAACCTCTTGTTATAGATGTACCATGTGGCTTCAGACTTGGATAATCAATTAGAAACCTACCTTGTCCTTAGTGAATCCTCTGCTCAAAGGCTGTTTCCCCAAAGTGTTTGTCTGAAATATATAATAGATAGGATATTAATCTATACTTTACTCAGAAGGAAAAGACTACAAGCGAGGTGAGGTACCCAATGTCTCCTTTAGTAATTTTGCACCTAAGAACTCACTTCTTTCCACTCCGTAGAGTAACAGTACATACTGTTGTTAGAGTTGTTTGTGAGACAGGTTTTCTTTTACTAAGCTTCTGAGATAACAGAGATGGGAAAAGATTCCTTTGTTAGTAACCAGCATCTACTAGTACTGAGATTGCATCCTATACCTGCCACTATGAATATAAGGGACTCCTTCCCATAATGAGTGCTGCTTGGGTTTTCTGTGCTCTGCCCTCTGATCTGCTCCACAGTGACCACAGAGGAGGTGAGAAATGGAAAGACGTCTTTCCCAAGGCTGCCTCTTTTCTGTGACAGCAATTCTGATGGCAGACATCCTCAGCAGGCTACAGAGGTTTTTTAGTGCCCAGTCTTAATATTCCTTCCACTGAATTAGACTTTGCCTCAAAAAAGGCCAAGAACAATTGAAGATTATTTTCTCTTAATCCACTATCTCTGATAAAGGCCACAGTCAGTACATCCTGTTTTGAATTGTTTCTGACACTGAGGATGAGTTGTTCTGAGTCTTCCACTCAGCTTCTCAGTTTAAGACCATGCCTTTCAGGGGAAAGGAGTATAAGCTACATCAGGGATTCTGAAGCTAAAAAGCATTTCCTGCATAAAACCCTGCCTTTCATTACTCTGTGCTTTAATAAATCGAAACCTTTCATAAATTAGGCCCACAGAACCTGTACTCACAAATTAGACAAAAGCCTTGTATAGGAAAACCTATTGGATGCACCCCGGTCTTTCTGGTCATACCCCTATACACTGACAGCACCCTAATGCAGTCTTTCCTTCCTCTGTGAACTCCCCAAAAAAGATACAGTTGATTTCATTTTCTTACCACTCACCTTTAGGTGTAGTGTGAAAACAAAACAAACAAAACCCTCCATTTGCACATCGGCCTTCACCGTTTAATCACTAAGCCTTGTATATTCTTTCCCACAATATCCCTCCAGTTCATTCTTCATTTCCATTTTCACTTACAAAAATAAAAAATTTAAACTTATTGTGTCTTAGCTAATCAAAGACACCACTGATCTTAAGAAGCACCATTATTTTATGTATCAGAAAATAATGCCAAATAAATAACACAATATTTATATTTTGTTATCAATTTTGAGGCTATTTTAGAGATGCCAAAATGTGCAAAAAATGTGAACTTGAGAATCAGTGAAATAAGGTAATAAGGTAATTGAAACTATGTGCCAAAGTCTCAAGAGCAATTAATGAGAAATTTAAATGAGTACACTACTACTCCCCCACAGATCTTTTGAAATCTGTGGGGACAACTTTTCTGCTATCACAAAATTGACTGGATGGTGACCCCTGCATTTATGGGAGGGGCAGAGATGCTAAATGAGCTTCAATTTTACAGATGAGTTCTACATAATGAAGAATTTTCCCTCATTCTGCAGGACCTCTCGATGTCTAACAGGACATCCTTTTAAGTGAAAAACCTTTCTATAATTACCTGAGCCTAGAATCTAACTCTGTTTTGCTTTTCTTTCTTTCTTTTCTTCCATTCCTTTCTCCCTTCCCTCTCTCACTTTTTTAAAAACATGGCTTTAATAAACACTACATTTTTCAGAAGTAACTACTATGTAACTTGAGAGAAGACTGTATTGTGGAATGTCATGAGGGTCACTGATTACAACACGGCTTGGGAGTTTTTATAGTTAACAACACAACAGCCCTGTACCAGTCAGTTTTTGCTGCATATATATTCATGGTGATTTCACATATAGGTTAAAGCATCTGATAACTGCATCAGGTCTCACAGAATAATTGTGCTCAAAAACTCATGTACTAAAATATGTATTTTATTAAAAAATACTTTCCTTTATATTACAGTTAGGGCATTATATTGATTTCCCTTCCCACCCCCTCATCCCCCCGAAATTATATGTGTAGGTGGGTTATATTGTCTACATTTTATTTCAGGGTGGAAAAGGGAGAATTTACAAAAAAATTATTGCAAAAAGGGGGTATTGGATCTTCTGTGATAGGAACCAATGACTCAAAATAAAGAAGAGGCTTTTGAAATGGGGCCACTAGTCATTAGCCTTCCTTTATATGGTGAGATAAGACAGTAAGTAAATACTTACCCAAGAGTTGCCATAACTTAAATGAAATCTTTACTTAATCTGCATCTTATCATAAAGTTGAATTTCTAAGTCTGCCTACAAAAAGGGATGAAGAGTTTTCCCATCTAATATTAAAAGTTTATATTATTGGCACTGTAAGTTTATTATAGGAAATTACACTTGTTAAAATGTTTGTAGTAGAGTTGTTTGTTCACATAAAGTTATAAACTATATTTGTCACAGGAGGCTGAATTTACTCCCCAACCCCATAACAATTAACCCACTGACTGCTGCTCTTAGTCTAATTAACCACTCATTAAAAGACTGAGTAGATTATCTTAAAACTTAGGATACTCAAAGCTAAAAAAGTTATTCTCCAAACAAAAGAAACATCTCTTAAACACAATGTGGAATCCCAGTTTTCCACCGTAAGCACCTTATTTCAGACGCACACAGCCCACACCTGGATTATTGTACATTCTCCCTGGTTTTGGCCTCTCCCACTCCAATTAATTCTGTGCATCATCCTAGGTAAATATCTTTCAAATCATAGGTTGAAATCAATTTAGTGGATTGTGGCCAATAAAAAGATAAAATAAATAGCGTACATTGCATGTAGCAAAAGCATTGTTTTGTAAAAACTTTGTTTGTTATATTCATATACTTGTGTACTACATTACAATGTAAAATGTATTTCTTACTTTGGGTCACGGTCAAAAAGTTTGAAAAATACTGCATTAGATTACTTTTTCTATACACAGCTTTCAACATGCTTTCTGCCGGCTTTGATTCTTATTTAAGGATAACAACTATTAAGCCCTCTTTTGCTCCCCAATCTTCCAGCCCGCTGTCACGTGTGCCTTAACCTGATCACTCGGCTGCACCCCTGGGAGCAGCGGTTACCCTTTCCATCCCTCTGTATCTCCACATGACCACAGTAATTTGCCAGAAAGCTAGGATACCATTTATGAGTGCAGGCTGAGCTGAGTAGAAAAGGGCTATGTTCAGTTCATCCAGCTGACCCATTAATGAGTCTATTTCCAGGACAGGGGTCGGGGTTGAGGGTGTAGAGCACCGGTGAGCCAACAACACAAAGAGGGACAGGTCTTACCTTCTCTTCCACGCATTTGATAAAGTCACCTTGCCTGGAGTGCCCCACTGGCTGCTTCCGAAACTCACTGCGTTTCTCCAGTCGGGACTCAAAAGCAGCTGGGTCAGACCTGATCAAACGTAAACCAAAAGTTAAACCACCTGGGCCTTTTCAGATTTGGAAAGAACAAAACATGTTCCAGTTCTACAGGGAGGGGACACAGACATTCAGAGGCTGAAGGATTTGCCTTTAGTTTGTAAGGCCTGAACACAGGGCTACAAATCAAAGAGTGGAAAAAGAAGTCTAGCTTTTAACTACTGTTAATCCTCAAGAGGACTGTGTAACATTTTTCTCCTGCAGACTATTCCCTAGGGTGACAGAGAGCTTGGTCCCTCAGGTATGGAATTCAAATCCCCGATATGGGAAGGGGACTATGAGGTCATCTTGCTAGGTCACCTCCTCAGGCAGGAATCCAATAGCATTCCTACTAGGTGTTAAGCTTTTATTTGAACATATCTAGTTCTTGGACATCTTCTCCCTAGGTTAAACATCTGTTTATTCAGCTGTAGGTGGTTCAAGGCTTCAGGTAGCCTATTTTGCAGAAGATTTAGCACCTGAGTATCTCTCTGACCCCCCTCTCCAAAAAACCTGTTCCTGCAGATGGAACATCAGAACTTTTCATTTATGTTAAAATGGAGCTGGTCTTTAGGCCCGAAGTCCAGGTTGAGGCTACTGTCCTTGTGAAGAATTCTTTAGGCTGTGTAGCCAATGATGTGATATTTAGCTCTGTAAACTTTGGTGAAGACTCCAGCTCCTCAGCCATGAGAATTGTAATGTCATTGGTGATATCTACAAAATCCAAGCACATTTTGCTCACCTCTCTGGTGGAATCCTGGCTGATCAAGGCACTGTAGGGGGCCCCTCCTCCATAAAACTCCTTCCCAGAGGTGACACTCAGCACCACTCCCTTTACTGCCATGTACATGAATACATCTTCTTTCCCTCTGTACCAGCTCCTCCGTGTACACCGTGGTTCCAGGGGCCCTGCCGGGTGGTGTGTGGCAACTGTCCAGCCAGGGCTGCACGTGCCAGCACCAGGGTCCGCGCTGCCAGTGTCCACAGCCACACTCCTCATCACACCATAATGAGTGGAGAGACAGAGAGGAGGAGCTTAGGCAGTGGAGTCTGTGCTCTCCTGACTTGGACGTCTTTTATTATTAAAATGTTCTCAGTGTAAATGTATCTCTATCTTTCATCTTCAGGAATAAATGTCTAGTACTTGAAAATAACTATTATGTCACCCCTTAATTTTCTCTTCTCTAGGTGAAGATACCCTGCTCCCACCTCCGGTCTCCTTTCCTTGCAGTCAGGGCTCTAGCTAGGAGCTTGGGAACACCAGTTCCAGGCCAGACCTCAGCTGACTCAATATGTGACCTTGAGCAAGTCAAGCCCCTTCTCTGGAAGGCTCCATTTTCCCATTTCTATAAGGCAGGTGTCTTGGACCTGCCTTCTTCAAAAGTTAGGCTGTTAAGAGTCTCTGAGAACTAAAGCACAAAGGCAAACAGAGAAAAAGCCAGGGCTTTACGGAGACTCTTAGCTCTGACACTAGCTGTGTGACTTGAGGCAACTGATCTTGCCTCTCTGAGCCCAGCTACATCATCTGTCGAGTGGGGATAGTAATAGCTCCCACCTCGCAGGGGTGTTGTAAGCACTTAAAGCGTCAGACACTCCAGAAACGCAAGCCGAGAGCCGCCCCCTTGCCCCAGCCCGCCGCCCACCGGCCCGGGCCCGCACCTGCGCAGCTGCTGGATCTTGTCGCGGTAGCGGTCGTAGAAAGGGTTGGCCTCGAGCTCGTCCCCGACCCTGCTGCCGTCGGCAGCCCCCGGGGGCCGGCGAGAACCGTAGCGTACCGGAAACACGCGCAGCTGCGCGGGTGCCAAAAGCCCCAGGCCCGGGGCGCGGCTGCGCACCGCGCACAAGCCCCGATAGAGACTAGCCAACTGCAGGACGGCCGGACCCGCGCCACCCGCCGCCGTTACCACGGCAGCCATGGCTGCCCCCTCCTCTTCCTCCTCTTCGTCCTCAGGCGCACCGGCCTCGGCCCACGACCCGCGCGCCCGCTCCATTACGCTCCGGGTGCGCCGCGCCGGCGATGCGGCCTCGAGGTTCCGTACGTCCAAGGTTCCGGGAGCTGAGGCCGGGCGAACGGGGACCGGGCGGGGAGAAAGGGTCTCCACGCTCCCTCCGGGTCCGCGCTCTATGCACTTCCTGTGCCACCGCCGCCTCTTCCCCGGAGCCTGCCCGGATTTACGCCCTCCGGCTGCTTTCCAAGTCTCTTGAAAGCCGCTCAGATCTGCAGGTCCTCACTGAGCTTGCTCCCTTTGAAATTCTCTTGGCAGTTGCCTGTAATAGTTGTCCTTAAGCATGGAAGGTCCTTTAATCAATTGTAAACACAAGAGCACCTTTACTGAGCGTTTCTATATGCAGAACGTCCTGTGTGTGGCAGGTGTTTCCCTTATTTTTCAGATGAGGAAACAAGCTGAGAGTCATTAAGCAACTCACCCAAGTTCTACCGAGGCCTGAACTCGTTTCAAGACGCCAGCAGCCTCTGAAGCCCAGTCTCCCTCTACTTCCTGCCATCTGTCTTGAACTGCAGACAAACTGAGCTACTCTCCTTCCCAAAAAGAGAGCTGGACTTGTCCAGACAAGTCTTTATTTAGGCTGTTTTTGATCCCTGAAATGCTTTATTCTTCCTCTCTCTTCATCCACTGCCATCATTTTCTTTACCCGCCCCCCCAACATGGTGGGAGCTCCTGGGGTCAGGGACTGTGACAGGAACATCTCTGTGTCTCTCCTGCTTCCAGCAGAGCCAGGCCTGCAGTAGGCCCTCTGCGATGGCACCCATCAGTTTGTTTCCGTGGAAGTCCTTTCTGTCTGGGTCTTACCTGCTAGAAATCCTTCCTGAACAATGGACCCCTGAGGGGCAGGCACAGAGCCTTCAACTTTGCTCAGTAGTCCAACCTATCCTCATGGAGACTGGCTCTGGGCTGGGGCCAATGCTGACCGCCGATCAGTAAATCCTTCAAGTGTGTCAAGTGTATACATGCCTCAGGATCCTTGCACTGGCTGATTCCTCTATTTGGATTTGCATGCAGCTGCCTCATCATTTAGTGCTCCTTTCACAAGTCAGTACCTACTTCAGAGGGGGTTTTCTTGATCCAGCTCCTCCATCCCTTATATTCTCATTACCTTATTTTTGTTTCCATAGCAGTTATGATTATCTGAAATTCTTAGGTATTTATTTCCTTGTTTGCATTAATTCAGGGAGCTTGCATTCTACTGGGGTGAGATACAATAAATAAATACATCATATTAGGTGATGGTACATACTATTCATTAAAAAAAAAATGCAGACTAAGACTAGAGATATGGGATAAGTGAGCAGAGACCTGAAGAAATGAGGTTACAATCTCTATGGATATCTAGGGGGAAGAGCCTTCCAGATAGAAGAAATGGTGAGTGCAAAGACCCTGGTGCAGGAGCATGCTTGCCCTGCTTGTAGAACACCAAGAAGGTTATTGTATGAAGGAAGTATGGGGAGGGGTAGTTAGACTGCTCAGGGCTTTGTAGGCCTTGATGAAGGACTTTGGTTTTAAATCTGGGTGAAATGGGAAGTCACTGTAGGTTTTCAACAGAGAAGTAACATGATTTTTTTTTTTTTAAGGATCATTCTGACTGCTGCTGAAATATAGGGCATGGGGGACAAGGATGGGAACTCACCCAAGGGTGACCAGTTTGTCTGGTTTTAGCGTGTCCTGGGAACTTCCTCAGTCCCAGGCAAACTAGGATGAATGGTCACCCTACAGGGAGACTAATAATCCAAAGGAGAGATGGTGGTGTTTAGAATGAGGTGATAGTTATGGGAAAATGATTTTGAAAGCAAAGCCTAAAGATTTTGCTAATGGAGTAAATTTGGGTGTGAGAAAATGAAAAGAGTTGAGGATGACTTACAGACTTTCAGCTTGAACAACTGGAAGGATAGAGTTGCCATTTACAGAGAGGAGAAGGACGGGAGTAGCACTTCCCCCTGCCCCTGCCCCATTAATCCCACCCAGACTACAGTAGGTTTTAGAGGGTGGATGATCAGGAGTTCGGTTTGGGACATGTTAGTCTGAGATTACTTAATAAACTGTGGGGACATCAGTCAGGCTGTTATGAAGTCTAAAGTTCTGAGGAGTGGTCTGGGTTGGGGAGATGACGTTGTTATCAGTGTATGTAGGTATAAATATGATATTTAAAGCTATGAGTCTGAATGAGATCACTGAGGGAATGAATGTAGATAGAGGGTCAGGGACTGAGTTCTAGGGCATGCTAACATTTAGTGATCACGGAAAAGAAGAGAAACCAGCCAAGGAGATTGCAAAACAGGAGCCAGTGGGGTAGGAGAAGAGCTGAAGATAAGTGGAACCTGGAGAGAAATCTGTGCTAAATAGTGACCAAGTAACATGCTGGGGGGTGGGGGCACAAAGAGGGAAGTAATTAAACGGTGCCAAGAAGCTGAGCTAGGCCCAAGAGTAGTACAGGGAGGCTGATTTGGGCTTAATTAGGAAAGGGCTTCCTAACTGAGCAGCCCATAAGTGGATCAAATTGTCACAAGAGGTGTGAGCCAGTTATGTCCCAGACCAAAGCAAGTTCTGGGGGATGATTTGCTGGGCAGGGGAGAGCTACCTCCAGGGCTCAGGCATCTGATGGGCTTTGTACTAACAACCCTCAAAACCCCTTCAAACTGGAGATGATGGGATTCTGGGGAGCCAGCTGAAACAACTGTTTGTCACAGAGTGTGGGGGCTGAGCTGAGCCTTGAAGGATAAGCTCAGTGGGGGAAAGAGTGGGGAGGGGCACTCATAGGTGGAGGTATTATGAGCAAAACTCCAGAGATGTGAATAAGCAGTCTTGATTAAGGAGTCTGGCCTGATCAGAAGGGAAAGGTATGTGAAGGATGGGGAGGAAGGTGAGGCTGGAAAGGATGTAGGCCCAGAAAATGGGGAGTTCCCACAGGACCTGGTACCCAGTAAATGCCATTTATTGAAGGAAGGTAACAAAACAAAGATGAGATTGTATGAGCCAAGAGAGGAGACATTAATCACTTAGTTCCCTTGAGCAGGTTTTCCCCTGACCACTTGGTCACAAACATCTTGAGGGCAGGTTTACCCAAAGCTGTGTGCTCCCTGCCCCACTTCCTACCGGGAACAGATCTCCATCAACTGTTTCTGAAAGCCCAGCAACATGGCTAAGGCCTTGAGGGACCCAGGTCCTTTCCTGGGGCCGCTCTGTGGGTTCATCAGAAGGCAGAGGGGGCAGACCATTCAGTGGCTGGGTCAGTCCCTGATAGGAGCAGTATGATACCATAGATGGAGTCGCTAACCATTAACCCAAGACTTCGCAAGCACCACCCTCAGAATGCTCAGTTCTCAGAACCCAGTGACCTCATCTTTAGGAAAACAATGGGGCCTGTGCATTCCAAGGACCCTTACTGACTGGACAGATGGGTAGGTGAGCTCCTTCTCTCCAGAGCCACCAGACAGGTACCAAAGATAGACCTTATGGATTCCCAGCCAAATGACATGAGCCTCCCTGGTGGTAAATGACCCTTGTCCAATCATTGACCCTTGCTTTGTGCCCTTAGCTTGGGAGGACACTCAGGAAAACCTTCCACATGGATGGGGTAATGGCTGCCTGCATGGAGGAGTGCTAGGCAGTTAGGATATGGTTTCCTCTAGAAACTAAGGATTCCTTGAGGGCAGAAGGGTAGTATGAATCCTCTAGGACCACCACAACTGAATGGGTAAGGAGTGTGGTGGAATGGGATGGGACAGTGGTGGCCCTGTCAACTGTTAAACTCTTTCTTGATGAGCCTTGTCTTTAGTGACGTTTCCCAATCTTGTGGATTAGATGGATCCAGGGTTGGGAAGCAGAGGCTTGGCTTAGCTGGGGCAGGTCATGCCCCTCCTCCAACCCAGCTTTCCTTATCTATAGAGGGCCAAGGTGGCCTCTACAGTTCCCTGGACATCTAGCTTTAACTAAAAGAATGATGAAGTCATTGAGGAGGGAGGGAAGAAATGAAAACATTGGTTAAGTAGATGGAATGACAGGTGAATGGGTTAAAAAGATGAATGAGAGAGTTCAGGCCCCAAGCTAGAGCTATCAGCTAGCTTGCCTCTTTTTCTTTCTTATTGTTTTAGTGTGGGTCTCGCTGTACTTTGGATTCCTGGGGCTGTGTTCAGTGATAACTGGTGGCTGCATTCTCTTTCTGCACTGGAGGAAGAACTTGCGGCGGGAAGAGCGTGCCCAGGAGTGGGTGGAGGTGATGAGAGCCGCTGCGTTCACCTACAGCCCACTGTTGTACTGGATTAACAAGCGAAGGCTCTATGGCATGAATGCAGCTATCAACATAGCCTCTTCCCCTACTGTCACTAAGACTGAGACTGAAGTCCCAAGTTCAGATCCACCATGGGAGTTGGAGAGCTCTGAGAGTAGGAGCTATGCTGCTCAACAGAGCAGCCCTAAGCTGGAGGCCTCTGTCCCCCTGCAACCTGCTTTGCAGCTGGTCCCACCGCTACCCCCGCCTGCCCCGATGCCTCGGCCCCAGGCCAGCTCTCCCGTTTCCATCTTTCAGGAGGCACCCTTTGCCCTCTCCCTGTATGACCTACCTCCAATGCTGAACCACTCGGTCTCTTACCCTTTGGCCACCTGTCCTGAAAGGAACATCCACTTCCATTCCCTCCCCACACTGGCCCATGGGGACCACTGCTTCAATGCCAAGCCTTTTGCTTCAGAACTGTAGCCTCTTCTCACTGAAAGTGGAGGCTGGAGGCTGGAGGTTTTAGGGCAGAGCTAACCTTGGAAGCAGTACTGACACAGGTTAGGGCCCATCTGAATGTCACTTGATGAAAGATTTTAAAAAGTCCCAGGGTCCCTCGTGTCTCATTTATTGTTAGGAGGGCAAAGTCCTTCTCTTGTTTGATGGGGACAATTTACAAACCAAACTGAAGGTCACTGAGTTATCACCAACACAAGTGGGAACTGGAGGATTGGCTGAGAGAAGACACACTGAACCCATACTCGTGGAGTGGCTCAGCAGTCATCTACCCAGTATTTATTTAAAACCAAAAATGTGTGCCAGACCCTGCGATAGGTACCTGAAGGTATTGCCATTCTGTGGGACATTAAACACAGCTGCCACAAGAGTGATAGCTGTGGAGGGTGTGTGAGATGTGGTGATTCACAGTGGCCACATCACAGGCGAGACAAGTCACTGAGATCCATGAGCAACACGACACTGCTGGCTCAGAAATCAGCTGACAGTCTCATGGGAACTTACCTGTAGGTAACTGCTCCTCTCTTGCTGCTTTTAAGAGTCTCTCTTTAACTTTTGGCATTTTAATTATGATGCATCTTGGAGTGGGCCTCTTTGCATCCATTTTGTTTGGGACTCCCTGTGCTTCCGGGACTTGCACGTCTATTTCCTTCACCAAATTAGGGAAGTTTTCTTTCATTATTTTTTCAAATAGGTTTCCAATTTCTTGCTCTTTCTCTTCTCTTTCTGGCATCCCTATGATGTGAATGTTGGACCTCTTGAAGTTGTCCCAGAGGCTGCTTATACTATCCTCATTTTGTTGGATTCTTTTTTCTTCCTGTTGTTCTGATTGGTTGTTTTTGCTTCCTTATATTCCAAATCATTGATTTCTAAGCTTCATCCACTCTACTCTTGTTTCCCTGTAAGTTGTTCTTTATTTCAATTAGTGTATCCTTCATTTTTATCTGGACCTTTTTAATGCTGTTGAGGTCCTCACTAAGTTCCTTGAGCATCCTTATAACCAGTGTGTTGAACTCTGCATCTGATAGATTGCTTATCTCCATTTTGTTGAGTTCTTTTTCTGGAGTTTTCATCTGTTCTTTCATATGGGCCATGTTTCTTTGTCTGTTCATTTTGGCAGCCTCTCTGTGTTTGTTTCTATGTATTAGGTAGAGCTGCTTTGACTCCCTGTCTTGGTAGCATGGCCGAATGTTGTAGGTGCTATGTAGGGTCCAGTGGCACAGCCTCCCCTATCACCCAAGCTGGGTACTTGAGGTGTTCCCTTTGTGTGGGCTGAGTTCACCCTTTTCTTGTAGTTGAGCCTTGATTGCTGTTGGCAGGTCAATAGAAGGGATTTACTCAGACCAGCCAGCTGCAAGAACTGGCTGTGATCACTGACCACCAACTTCTGCCCTCTGTGGAGGGTCAGCTGTGCAGAGGGGCATGGTGGTGGAGCTCTCTTAACATGGTCTGAAGCTGTCCAATGGGTGCACAGGTTCTAGGGTTTCCCAGGTGGTGCAGGCCAAGGTCAGCCCCCATCTGTGTTGTGCCCAGGGCCACCCTGCCTGAGCTATAAAGCAATTTGAGATGGCTGCTACTTATTTTGGGTTTGGAGATTCCCAGGCAAAGCCAAGTGTGAACCTAGGCTGGCTGATGCTAGTGCCAGGTCTCAGGTCACTTAGCAAGAGGTGCGAGGTCTGGGGGGTTCACTGAGGCCAGTTGTTGCTTATTTGAGAAGATTTAGGAAGTTGTGAAACAGGAGCTAAGCTCAGCTATTCATATGTAAAAGTCACCATTAACAGCTTGGGTGGATTTATAAGTTGGGTGGGACAGAGTCTCAGGGGATCTCCAGGGTGGACCAAACAGTGTTAGCTAAGTTGATGGAGTCTCAGACATGGCAGCAGCCTGCCAGATCTGTGGGGGGAGGGTTCAGAAAAGGGACAATGGCCTCTGTCCACCTGTCTGGAAGAAAGCTGTCCCCCAGCTCTCACCTTCATGCCAGACACTTCATTTCCTCCCCGTATGTCACTGGTGCCTTTCAAGTTGCTACTCCAGTGCTGGAGCTCAGGGGGAGTGAATCTGAGTAAGTCCGTGTGTGGGCTCTTTAAGAGGAAAGTGCTTGGGATTCTAGAAGTTTCTTCCACTGACTCAATCCCCACTGGTTTTTGCAGCCAGCAATTATGGGGCTTATCTTCCTGGCACTGGAACCCTGGGCTGGGACTCCCAATTCCTGATATATTCCTCCCGAATTTTTATCCGCCATGTGTGGATGTGGGACCAGCCCATTCTGCAGCTCCGCTCCTCCTACCAATCTGAATGGATGCGGTTTCTTTAATTCCATAGTTGTCAGACTTCCATTCAACTTGATTTCTGAAAGTTTCACGTGATAAGTTGTAATTTTATGTGGTTGTGTGAGGAAGCGAGCTGTGTTTACCTATGCTGTCATCTTGACTGGAAGTCCACTCTCTTGCAATGAATTTAAAGGTTTGTTTTTTTTTTAAAGGCAGTGGAATATTTCTTATAAACATGCTCTTATGCTGAATTTCCGTATATAAAACAACCCTAAGTGAAGCTTCTCTGGTTGATACAGGTACAGGGGCTCATTTATCCTTCTTCCTGCCAGATCCCAACCTACAGATGCCAGAGAAGCAGCCTTCACTCCTTCAGGCCAAATTCTGTGCTCATCGGGTAGATTCTTCAACATAACATTGTGCCCACAATCTGTTTGTTTTCAAAAGGAGGAAGGGGCCCATAAAAATAGGGATCACAGTGCACATGCTCACTCAACAGCTTCTACTGCCCTCCCTTGTCTAGCACAGTGATGTTGTCATTGTTCACACATGGACATTCCAGTCCACCCTCCTTGGCTGCCAGGTTACATCAATGTTGCATAAACCGTTCTTGTTATATTAGCAATGCCTGGACTTTTTCCAGACAGAGTGTGTGTGCGCACATGCGCGTGTTTGTGTGTATGTGTGCACGCACGCACGCATGTGTATTTCCTTAGTAATCAGGTGTGGGGGAGCCTTAGTCATAGACAGTCATAGTGGGAGAGAAAAAAAAATCTTTTATTTAGATAAATTAAAATGGTTATATTACCGATATGAAATAAGCAAAGTTCAAATCAAGTCATGGAAACCTTGAATTCACTCCTCAAACAGAACCAAAGCTACCTACACATTACCAAAATAGCTCCACTAAAGCAAAGGAGATCAACATTTCTTAATATGAGAAAACAACAAGGTAAGTTAGGTTCGTGTAACAAACAATACACGCTTTATGAAGTCTCAGGAATACCCAAATGTGTTTTGGTTTGGATATGAAAGAAGAGCTGGTGTTGGTAAGCAAGCCAATGAGGTGTGCAGCAAACAAAAGCTGTCACTAAAAACAAGTCAAGAGCTGGCCATTATGAGTAGGAGCCCATCACAGTCAAAATCTTCAGCTGTGACTGTAAGACTACCAGGGGTGCCGAGAGTGCTTGGTCCAGCAATGTAAAGTGAGGAAGCGCCAAGGGGAGGGAAAGGAGCAAGCAGGTGAAGAGCGTCCCTTCTTTAGCTTTGCTGCTTCAGACACACTACTAGGGGCCCTTGAAACAACACTACAGTCACCCCTAAACTGGGGTTCTCTTCTTTTGGTTCTTTTCTGCCCACAAAACTGTTTGCCTCTCTGATTTATAAGGAGGCCCTTTAAGTAAACATTATACCAGGGAGCAGAAAATAAAAGAAGAAAAGGACCAAGAAGCAGTGCTTTGGGTAAATTAGGAAACCAGCAGTGGGAGCTGCCAGAGTGAAAAGGTCAAAGTATTTGAAACCAAAACCAATACCAAACTCACCTCTACTAGTCAACCTTCCTCTCAGAGCTGAGATGTGGCAGGTGAGGCTTGATTACAGAGAAACACAAGTCACAAGGTGGGGAAATTAAGACAACTTATAAATAAAAATCCCAAATGAATCTGCTCAACTTCAAACAAAGGAGTTCAAGATGCCCTAGGTTTTCCTGGGAGATAAGGCACTCTCCCAGGCAGTGTGACAAGGGTATTCACAAGTCTGAAAGTCTAGCAGGAACACCTCTGCCAAATTTGGTAGGGAGAGAGCCTGGTACTATATACCTGGCTGAGGGGTGATGCTAGCCAGACAAGCTTGAGGAGAGAAGAGATAATAAACCCAAAAACAAAACTGACTCTTCCATGGATAGCTATCTGATGCAAAAGAAAAGTACACACAACAAAGAGTTAAAGTGTCTTCAAAGTATCTGCCTATGAGTAAGAATTTGAAACTAAAAAAGACAAGCTACATTACCCTCAAGTATATTTCATATAAATCAGTTTGCAAAAAAAATACTTTCCAGGTACAGACATACTATTTATGGTACAGTATATACAAATATAGCAGTATAATTCAATTTATTGCTATAATGTTATTTGGTTGTTATAAAATACATCAGGATATATATATTAAAAGGGAGGGGGGCATGGAAGGTGGCCGGAAGAGTAATCTTCAAGTTACCTAAAGTGCCAGGCTAATTTAAAAAAAATTTTTACTTATTGATTTGAGAGAGAGTGAAGAAGAGGGGGAGGGAGGGAGAGCGAGAAGAACATCAGTTTGTTTTTCCACTTATTTATGCATTCATTGATTGATTCTTGTGTGTGCCCAGATCAGGGATCTAACCCATAACCTTGGAGTATGGGGACGATGCTCTAACCAACTAAGCTACCTAGCCAGAGTGTGCCAGGTCATTTTAATACTACATTTTAACCTTTTCAAGAAAGTGAAAAAGCTTGGATGAGCAAGGAAAAAAAAATTCTTTTTTAAAGAGAGAGAAGCATAAGCCTATGAGGTAAGCAGATACATTCATGGGAAAAGACTTTATCTTGCTTTAACTAAATTTTAATATTTCTAGAAAAAAATCAAGATTAGCCTACACCAAGCTGAGTATCATAAAAAGAAAACATAAACCAGCCCTTCAATAGTTAAGGATGCCTGCCTGCA